TTTCCCATTTCCTTACTAATCACTGGGTTTCCTAGATTTTTTGTCAACGGTACATAATTACACACACACACAAAGGACAGTGTGATCGACTGTTAACTACACACGAGATCTGATTAATTACAGACCCGAACATGATTTCTTTTTTTGACATGGTCACATCTGAAGTGTGTGGTTAATTCAGGATGATAGTAAAGGCTGTGTTCAATCACACTCAAGTGTGTGGTTGATGGTTGTTTCCTGTGTAAGGAAAGGAGTAAAACTACCTACCATTATCACATCACCTCCTACTGTAACAGTTTTACTCTCAACCTGTAATATGTCACACACACAGAGATAGAGTGAGAGAGAGAGAGAGAGAGACTAAACTACAGAGTAGCAGTTTGTCTTAGTGCAACTACTATGTAATTCATGGTAGTTGCACCGAAGCTTGGTGTCCACTTCTCTCAGGAATTCTGACAAAAAGAAATCTCTGTTTGTCCTTCTCTGTCAGTTACCAAAAATTTAGAATTGTGCTTCCAGCGCAGACATCCATAGATCTGTTCACTGATGTGTGTCCTTGGCGCTACGGTGTTGCCTAAAAGACGAAATTCATCTCTTAAGTAATTACGGTGTTTTGTCAACTTGTAATTTTCATGGACGTTCTTCCTCTCAAAGACGAGAAGGAAACAAAAACTAAGTAGTGGTGACGCTAAATGACAACAAGGAAATGTATTAATGCATTAGTCAAGCTGTAGAACTTGAAGTTGAAAAAAAACCCAGAAGGGACAAAAAACAATCAACACCAATTTCAGGATAAACTGGAGCAGTAAATGAGGGCAAGATATAACCAGAGCAAAGTTTGTTGGCGAGAAAACACGACATCTGTTCTGTTGACAAATTTAGGACCAAGACTGAGACTAAATCAAAATTGCATTCAAGTATTCATTTACAGTTGAAAACCACTGTTTACTCACAGTTAATAATCTTTGTTAATATAGCACTTGCTGGGAATTAAAAGAGTTGGAGAAACAGGTTTTTTTCCTTAACAGAGCTAAAACAGTAAAAAAAAACCTATCCTGTGTGTATGTGCAACAAGCAGACACATGTGGTCTGCCCAGACAACAGCCACTGATTGCTTGTTACAACAACATGTCAGCATTCACGGTGTTGCCTGAGGCAAGTGTCACATCTCTGGTTTTCCAAAAAAGTTGTCACATCTGTGTAAATGCACAGTGAGAGCGTTTTGAGCAATTCACTTGTTTTTTGTTTTTTTACTTGCAAACGTATTAAACACACTAACAGCACAGAAGAAACCAGGCTTAAACAGAGTGGTTAATGTAAGACTAGACATGGTGTTCCAACATGGCGGCCTAAAAATGTGCTGTGAAGGGGGAAAAGATAAAAAGGGCTAATTGTGTAATGACAAAAACACATTAACATTTTTGTTGTATATACATTATAGTTATAACGTTAGATAAAACGTTATAAAAATGCATGTTTTATTGTAGAATTTTAGATTTGTTTTTAAAGACTTTGGCTCTCTCTCTTCGACACATACCCCCAAAAACACAGAATTACCTTAATTGGAAACTCTAAATTGATCTTTGGTACCTGTGTCTCAGTGGTTCTTTGTCTCTGTATGTGTTTGACAAAGTAATGGACTCTTGAACTGTCCAGGGCATATTCCTGTTTTCCAAACAATCGCTGATTCCAACAACACTGCAAACCTTAGCACAACACCGGACAGGACAGAGCAGTAAAACAGAGCTGAATGAATGAATGCAGTCACAAGTTGTGACATTGCTGCTATGCCATGTAGAAAGAGTGACATACATGAAAACCAAAAAGTTAATTTGGAAAAAAAAATTATAATAAACACACCCAAAATGTGTCCAGTGTGGAGATCTGAAACCTCTTCTTGACATAGAAGAATAGCAAATAACTGATTTATACAAAAACGTGTGGTTTCGATAAGAAGGACGCGAATGTGTTATTATTGCATTATTATTAATACTATTATTATTATTGGGTTTGGTATATATCCTTATCTTCCTGTATTATTAAACAGTTTCTTGATGCATGTTGTCAATTCTTCTTACCATCTATATTTTCTCTGTCACTGATATGCTGAAGGTTGCAGCCCGTATCCTCACGGCTCAGCTCCGGCTCAGGCCGGTAGGTCTCCAGCTTAGAGTGGTTGTTCCTCCGGTGCTTGGGGCTGGAGGACACGCAGCAGGAGGTTGTATTCCCCATGGTGTGAACACAGCGGCCGGCTGTAGAGGCTCGTCTTCACCCAGCAGTGTAGTCTCTCTTCAGCCCTCTGGCTGCGCTGTTAGCGCTGCAACTGGAGAGGAAAAAACGGGGCGGTAACGCGGACAGACAGCGCCGGTGCAAAACTACAGACTGGCCCCAGACTCCTTAAACGTTACATGTCCATTTGTGTCAGTTGAATACACGCTAAGCTGCAGACGCAGAGTCCTTTCTATAAAGCTGACAACATGCTATGGTATGCTAATAAATGAGGAGTAGCCCACAGACCCCTTTCAAATCTCCAGGCAGATAGTGTCTGTATGTCACAGACGTCCAATTCTCTGTCGACTCCCCCGCCTTGTGAATGCCTTCCGACTTCCCCTTTTCCTCATAGAAACATGTTCATTAAATATAACTATAAGACAGCGTTAGATCAATGTGGGAAATTAGATTTTACTTAAATATTCCAGTTCCCAGCGCTACATGGTTGCCATGTACTGTATACTGAAGACTCTTGGTGCTGCTGCTACATCCGCTGCCGTGGTGCCTTCACTTGTAACCAATAGAGTCGGATTTGAACAGATTCTGGATAGACACGTCTGTGCGCTTTCATTTTTCTTTAGCCACGAGGGCAAAAAAAAGTGTTTTTGGAGCAACCAATATCAGGACATTATATTTTTTAAATTATTACCATAGACATGGTGGTATATATACACCGTGTATGGAGTCAATTGTAACGTTTTAACAATCTCTAACTTTTTGATAGAGGTGATTTAAGAAAAATGCAGCGGTAAACGACTGTAGGACCGTTTTTCCGACAGCACTCAAACACACATCAAAACCTGAAGCGCAGTGCTGCTGACGGAAACAGGTTCCGGTTCAGGTGGGTGCTTACTATTCTGTAATAAATTGACAATTATGTCAGTCTCTCAGAGGGACTCAATAAATCAAAACCGACGCCGTTAGGGATAGAAATGATGAAAATCTCGTCTGTTTTCCCACAGACCATTATTAAACAGTTGGCTTCTCTTTCAACTCTTTGATTGATTGATGTGATTTCCCTGCAGTATCAACAAGCCAATAACAAACATATAACACCGACGCATATTGCATTTCACATTAATAAATAAAATAAATTAAGCAGGTGACAAAGCCCCATGCACTGACCAATGAAGTTTTATGCTCACCTCTTTTTGTGAGTGACACAGTAATTTAGTGTTATCTTGACTAGTGTGTGCTTAAGTCAAAGAAGCAATTGCTTTGTCATTGTCAGAGCAACGTGGCTGCTCAAATTAAACCCCCTTGCGCTTTTACAAAAGATTAGCGGAGGTCAATGCAAACAAAGTGAAGTCAAAAGAATTGAATGGCCTCATCCCTTTGAGACCACTTGCATAGAGTGTCAGGCACCGATGTGCACTGTGCTGACCTAGATTATCACCGGTGATGCAGAAGGTTCTAATATGTTCATGAATAACAGGGCTTTTTTCTTTCTTTCTTTTTTTCATAATTACGTTTTACAGTATGATAAGGTGTGATGCTATAGCACAACCTGCTGGTAATACGGAGTAATGTCATTAAGAAAAAATATTGCTATTGCTTTTATAATTTTAACATGAATAAAAGTTAAGGGTTGTTTTTACGCGAATTACTTGATGCGTAGCTCATTCAAGGCCCAAGTTTGAAGAACTCTGCTAACGATTAACATACAGTCAGTAACTCTACAAACATTGACGGAATTTCCTGTTCCCCCTGCACTGCATTCCAGGCAGTTTTGTCTCTATCAAGTGTAGACTACAACCGTGTTTTGTTGTGGACTGGACAGGAATAACGTTTGACAATAGGTCCAGGTGCAGGGCAGGTCTCTGTGGTATTGAATTCTTTCCTTTTATTTG